AATTTTAATTTAACATAAATTTAATTTGTACTTACTTTAATAATGTAAGAATTAAAGAAAATAAATATAAAGTATGATCTTTATTGGATGAAATGTGACAAAAAAGATATAACATTTTATGGTACATCCATTATTTTTACATATAGAATTTTATATAAGTAGAACGAAAAAGTATAATTTTTAGTGAATAAGTTGTTAACATAAAAAATATTAATAGTAATAAGTATAGAATTCTGTATATTTAATGGTTTTAATAATAATTAAAAGAAATTTACAAACTTTTCTGAAGGAATTCATCAAACAAGAATACAGCGGTTGGATGACAGGAGTTTGTATATGATAATTCCTTCAATTCTGTTATGTAGCCGGCTAGGTCTCGTATACGTTGAGTGTGCGATTCCAAGAACTTTTCTTCAATGTAATGAGCAATAGCTGGGTCATTTTGTTTAACTCCGGAATGGCTAGCATGAATTTCAAATGCTGCCTTAGCAAGTACCTTCATATGATCAAGTACCAAACCTAAACTTCCTAGTTCACTTACAGTTGTCAACTTGCCATCACCCTTTATGTGTAATTCCTAAGATAAAAATATAATAATGTAAAATGACTCAGCATCAGGAAGAAAATATTCTGTTGTAAAAAATATAACTTTACATTATCCACTGAGTGTTGGAAGTTCATTTTACCACCTCGTTTCGTAAGATATTTCATTATGTCAATTGCATCTTCCCATAATTTATCAGAGTAATGACGATATAATTTTTTAAATCCTTCACGATTAACCTTATAGTTGCCAAAGTAAGTTGACAAATATAAAAGATGAAAACTTTCATGCAAATTTGCAACTGCAAATTTTTGTAATCCAGTCTCAAAGTTGTTAACATTAAGAGCAATTGAACCATATTTAGCACTGCACTCAGGAAGTGTTATACCTGTTAACATTCATTAATTATTGTGTTATTTAATTAATTCTATTTATAATACCATACGATAGCATTAAATATGTATATACCGTCAATTGGTTTATCATTGCGCTCACAAGCCGAAGTAACATTTTTGTAACACTTTTGACCAGATGCGGCTACCAATAGAAGAGACAACACTCCAAAGAACAACATTTTGCTGTAATTTCAAGTAAATTTCTGTAAATTCAATTCAAGTATGATCAGTTTATAATCGAAAATAATAATGATTTGTGTATGTGAATATGTACATAATACATAAACTCAGAAAACATTATAACTTCAGAATAAGATAATAGATGTAGATATTAAAATATAATAAATAAGAACTTAAAGTATAAATAAAATTTGAAAATACAAAATAATAGACCACACTTTAAGTAATAATAATCTAACGACCTCTCGCACTTTAGCACCAAGATCGAGAGGAACATAGATATTTACACAAATAAGTTGCAATCTAAGATAAAAGCCAAATGTAGTCGCAGAAGGATGTAATCTACAGACGTCACGAGTCTTTATCATAAAAATTCAAACTGTCTGTAGATATCAGACATTGCACAGTAATATTATTCATCATTATTGCATCGAAATGCGTAGTAGTTCAGTATATATTCAGTGAAAAGAAATGAAACAGTAAAAGATTTTCATATATCGCCATTGTATTTATGTTAATTTTCTATTTATACATAGGGTGCGATTATTTGAGTTACTAAGAACAACGAAATTGAATTATCCATGTTACATACCTGTTTAAATGATGTGCTCGTTTAAATGGAAGGAACGTGAATACTCTCGTTTCGACGTTCTTCCAACAATGAACATTGGATAACACCGTCCGTTGGTAGTTTTAACACAGTCATAGTCAGCTGACAGGTAGGGCGCATGCGTGGTACAAAGAGAATACATACGCATATGTACGTATGTACATACATACGTATGTAATAGAAAATTCCAGTTACTCCCCGTCGATTAAAGTACGAATGATACGCATTTGTTGGTCAATTATTAAATGATCAATGGCAAACGTACATCGTGTTTAGTTCACGTACGTCTCTTATTTAGTTTCTCTAGAAGCAACCTTCTAAACCAGTGTGTATAAAGGTTGCTATCTAAACGGATATTCAATAAGTGTATTCTCTTGTGATCATTTTTACATATAAGTATAAAAAGTAGTTTATCATGAAGCTATTTTGCATCTTACTCGCCACTTTCTTTTTCACTGTTGGATCGTCAGAATCAATATTAACATGTAAGTTTACAAAATATTTCTAAAAATTTTGTTATAATTCTTGTGCACCTATGTTGTGATACACTTCCATTGAAACGGTGATTGAGGTTAACATTACACATTGCTGTAGATTCCATTGTCCTCTGTCCTTCCTGTTTACGAGATCGATGTATTGTCCTTTGCATGTTGTGAAAAAAGAGCTTAATACGTAGGTACGCAATATTTACTATTATTAACCTATTCAAATTAAAACATTAATATTTATTCTGCGCGTTGCACAATATGTACAACGCATTACATGTTATAAACAACTTGCCTCCGTCAATACTAGTGCTTTCAGATAACGTATAGTAAATACTTATATAAAATTCACATATTATCTGCGGAATTAAAAAATAAAAATAATCTTAGTAGCAAATAGTTATCTATAATTGTAAACATTCTTCTTATTGCTACAGTGAATTGCTCACAGTTTGCTACAGATAGTTTATTACGTAGTAAGCTTGTATAGTTATTTTTTGTAACCTATTGTACAATGTATAAAGTCCTATGTGATGATGGCTATAATA